CTGCTACTGCGACTGGGACTGCGACTGCAACTGTGATTGCAACGACGACTGCTACTGCCAGAGCTCACGACCACGATCTCGGCCACGACTACAACAACGACGTCCACTGCCGCCGCTGCTGCTGCTGCTGCCGCCTTTGCTATTGCTGCTGCGACCTCTTCTCCCACCCTACCATACCCTACCGCTACTGCCACCAGAACTGGAACCGGTCATGGATGCATACATGCAGTGTGATTGTTACTATATTCCACAAATCGAAATGTGCATGAGTTTACCACGACGGAGAGTTTGCATCACCGAAAGGAATTGGATTCGTATTTCGCATAGTCATAGGATTTCTCATGATTGTCCGTTACTACTACTATTGTTCTTACAACTTCTTGTTATCATTGTTCTTACCATTATCATTATCATTATGCAATATTATACATGTTTTATATTTATGTCAAACATTATCATTATCACTGAAATATGTGGTCATGATTATTATCATTAGCTCTATATCATCACCATTATCATTATTATTACTACTATTATTATTACTACTATTACTATTATTGTTATTGTTATTATTATTGTTATTGTTGTTAATACAATAGTTATTATTATTTTCAGTATTAGTATTAGTAGTGTTATTATTGTCATTATTATGAGTCTTAGTATAATTATTCTGACTACTACCACTATAGACTATAATAATAGTAATTGTTATCATTATTATTTTTGTTATTGTTGTTATGGTTATGATTATTATCATTGTCACTGCTACCATTATTACCATCCATATTGCCATGTTACTAGTAGTCCTCATGATGCTTGTGCTTGAGGTTATGGTTCTGTTTGTCTTTGTCCGTTTGTCTGTCTTGTTGTCGTTGCCTTTGTCACAATTGCCATTGTCGTTGTGGTTGTGGCAGCCGCCACGGATCACAGCAGGCAGGGTAGCTCTGTCAACCAGGCCGCGGGTGCCAACAGGCTCCTTGCGCCAAGCGTAAGGGTTGTCCACTCGACTGAGCCATAGATCGCAACGTATCGCACCGTAGCCTAATGCTTCTGTGTACCGCCGGGTCCCAATTCCAGGGCCTCTCTAAGTACGCTCTTAAAGCATCGAAGGAGTTAGGCGGTAGGGTTTTCACCTGTCCGCGGGGTGAAAGGAGCATCGTCTTGCTCAGGCTCGACTTCGCGAAACTAGTGGATGGCGACACCGCCTGTTGCACCAGCATTCCTGTTCGGAGCAGGGCTATGCATGGCATAGCCCACGTTGAGGGCACCGCCCGGCATGGTCTGCCGTCGGGTTTACAGCACACAGGAGACCCGGAGTTATTGTCCGTATCAGACTGATGTCATAAGTGGCTTGAAGAGGGTCATCCTTTATATTCCTCACAATTGAAGGTGCTGTTAGCAACAGACGGTCCACCCTTGGCCGGCTTACCCATATTAGCTGTAGCAACTCGATGCCATGCAGAGATCTCAGAGTAAATGCCGTAATTCTTCGAAAGCTCCAGGTCTCTTTTCGAGCCTAGAGATTCCGCTTGCATGTGGTCATGTACATGTTGCAAGCGCATGCGCCGTCATTCCCTTCCTTCATTTCCTTTCCTTTTCTTGGTCAAAATAAGCTTTTCGCGTTCACGGCCAGAGGCATGTCTGTTGCCTCACCTTGCATCCATCTCCATCGTTATCGAGATAGTCAGAGGCTGGGTGCGTGTGCTGAGTGCCACGTCCAGTTCTCTTGTCAATCACAGTCATCTCCTCCCTGAGCCTCCCAGTTTCATTCCGAGCGAGCAAGTTCCAGCCCCAGACCTCGAGTCTTCTGATTGTTCGTAAGAGCATGTGGTTATGTACATGTTGCAAGGGCATGCGCAGTCATTCTCTCCTTTCATTTCCTTTCCTTCTTCGTTCATATAAGTCTTTCGCGCTCACGGCCAGAGGCAGGCCTGTTGCCTCACCTTGCTCCCATCCCCATCGTTATCGAAATAGTCAGAGGCTGGGTGCGTGTGCCGAGTGCCCTGTCCAGTTCTTTGGGCCTACTATTTTTCGTGCTGAGTGAATGTCTGGGATGACGTTCTCTAGTGCCTTGAAGAGGCGATGAAGTTGGTTTCTCAAGTGACTGCAGCAACTATTTTCAGAGAACATAGATACTGCGAAATACGAGTGCGTGTGCGACGGGTGTTGGCAGTGCTGTATTATTGCGCCCCATTTAGTAGAGTCTCTGTTGTTGTTGCACCCTGACAGCTAAACTAAGGGTTCTCTGCGGAGTTGTCGTCACTCACATCAAGCTTACAATACAGAGAGCGTCGCGACTTTTCAGCAGGGGGCCATTCCACTTGTTACCAGGGAATGGTCATCGAAAAGCCTGGTAACATGGTGCTGAAAACGTACCTGCAGCAGGGGATCGCGCTCTTGGGCCCTGAATGGGCAGCTAGGGGAGATCAGTGAGGCGCCAATGGCCCAGCAAGGCTGCATGGACTTCACACCTTGCGCAACATAATCATCATCATCAACATCATCCTGTCGCTCTCTCGGCTTCTACTCAGGCAATCCACTCAGGACGTGGTCATCGATACAGAACTGTGGCAGATAGGTGTAAGCAGCAGAACGACCAGTGCAGCCTTACTTATTGCTGCTGTTGTTGTTGTTGTCGTCGATGTGGCGCTGGTGGTCGTGGTGTGGTCAAAGTTGTGGTCGTGGTCGTCCTTGTCTCCGCCATCATCGTTGTTGCAATCCTCCTTTTCCTCCTCCTTCTCCTGATCCTCCTCTTTCTCCTCATTATCATCATTAGCATAATAATCAGTCTCAAGGAAAATGATGGAGCGGAAGCCCAGGGTCGAAAAGGCCTTTCAGCAGCGCCTCAGCTCAGAGTATCATTGAATTTGTTTCGTTGAATTGCATCGGCCCTTCTCTGCGTTTTCACAGTGATGAGCACAAGGTTCGACCCTGAGGGCCTTGGAAGCAAGGCTGCATTTTGGAACACGGTGAACAAGATCTAAGCCCTAATATTTGCTGTGTGGTGACAAGCTTCTGCGGATTTGTACTCTACAACATCTGAGGATACATCACCCTCCAGAAGTTGAAGCGGGTCTCGAGGCCGTTTCTGTGATGCCAAGCCCTTCTCGATCTGACTCTGTGGCAAGGGCGCTCGGCGAAGACTTGGGTGACGTGGAGTTGCAGGAACGAAGCTCTTTGACAATGCTCTTTGTTCTAGCATTGCTCTGTTGACTGTGCTTTTGCATGTGCGAGGACATGCTGAATCTTGCAGACAGGGCTCCTTCTCGGCAAAGCGTTTGAAAACTGCACTTCCCAATCATCCTACGCGAGTGCGCTGCATCTCCAACCTGTGTTGATGCTGTGTGCCCTACTTGTCGGCCAAGGACAAGGATGGCTTGGTGAGCCAAGCGGAATTCATGGCTTTCATGAAGGACCCACGAAGCGGGGTGGGTCTGCCGGCCTACTTCAGCATACTTCAGTTCTGTTTGACCAGGAAAGAGGGATGTGGTGACAGTGACTGCCAACTTTTGCCCACGCTGAATAGGCCAGAGGCTCGGATATTGGACTTTGCTCACGTGCGCGATTCGTCAAAATGGCCAAAATGGCGATTGCCCAAGGCTGCAGAGGAGTTGCATGACGACAGATGTGCTTGCGAGTGCCGCCACGGAGCTTTTTTGCACTCCAAGCTGCTGTCAACACCCCTGCAGGTTCGGTTGTGCCATGCCAGCAACCCCCGTAAGACGCACTACAAGGAATTCTTGAGAACAGCAGGAGTGTTTTGGACCGATCCCTACTCCGTTTGTCACGGAGTGGACAAGCAATGCTTGCACCCACACTTGTGGTGGTGCATGGCTTGCACAGCCATAGAAAATAGATTCGCTCCGCAATGCTGAAGGTGAGGCCAGTTGCTTTCAATCGTGCAGCCGCAGACGGGAGGAGTCACAGTGCCGGCATGCTTACCTTGAGGCCTTCACCGACGTCGCCAGGACGGCTCGTGGCAGAGCTCTCACGCTGTCGACTCTGTGCCCTGGCCGTTGAAGCAGCCTGGAGCCCCGGAGCACCGAGGTCAAGGCTACAGACATTCGACGATGGCTGGACGATGCCTGAAAAGTCTACGCAGCTGCGTGCTGCAGCTGCGTGCTGCTGCTGCTGCATGCTGCTGCTGTTCTACGAAGGCTTGACCGAGGGCAGCTTTCAGCACGAATGTGTTCATCTGCCCCCCTACATCAGGGATCGGATAAAAAGCTCTGCACCCTGAAGGTTCGCGCCTTCCCTTTCAGGCCGAGGAGCTGCCCCGGTCCGCAGCTCGGGATCGCTGGGCCTGGGCCGGTGGACGCGGCACCGAAGTCGAAAAGAGCGCTTCAGGTCCACGGTGACAGTGGAGGCCGTGAAACGCTTCCAAGCCTCCATTCGTGCTCGAATGGCAGGCCTTGGACACCCTGGAACCTTGTTGCGCCCTGAAGCTGTGGACTCCGTAGATATGTGCAGGATCAGATGCTCTGCCTGACAAGACAGAGGAGATCGGCTTTTGGCAATTGCCATGGTGGCAAGTGGTTGCGGCTTGTGGGGGTCTGTCCCAGGACGAATGGACGAGCTCCGACGCTCTTCGGAAGGACACGGCTGACACTTCCTCTTGGCAAGCGCACAGGCTCTGACGAGGATTGCAAGCCTGGGTACTTGTGTCTCCGCGCGCCCTTCTTGTGGCTCTGCTTTGATACAGTATACACGAGCCGATAGCGACGATCGGTAAACAGAGCAGAGAACAGGGGGCTCCTGAAGCTTCCCCTTGCATCTGCCCTCATCCGTTCATGTTTCCATTCGTGGTCCGCTTCGGACTGTCTTCGTCAGCGAGGCACCCGTTGCTCGTTACCATTTTTTGCGCTAGTGATGGCTACAGGTGATTGCTTCTGTAGTGACATGATTGGAATTTCGACTCTCAGCCAGCTTGCTCAAGGAGAGACAGCACCCTTAGCAACCTGTCTGCTCCCCTACTATTCTACTTCACGACAGCAGGATCGAAAATCAGCAGCTGGAAGCTAAGACCTGTATTTAGATGCCACCGGGGCCAGCTCGCCGTGGGCTGCTGACCTTTGTGGTAGGTGCGGGTGATGCAGACATGATGCCTCCTTCGACGGGTCGCAGCTGTCTTGACCAGGCGGTGAGCCTTTCGAGATACCGTGGCCGTACCTGGCACTGCACTCGCCTGTTTGGGCGGACAAGCTGGCAGAGGCAGGGCAGGCTTCGAATCACGTGTGCCGGAGCGTCAGAAGTCAAGTCATGCGTCCAGGATCCGAATCTCGCCGTCATAGAGCTGGAGGGGGAGGCATTCTTGCAAGCGGTGCATTCTCGAAAGAATTTTGTCGCTGTTGCAGCCACCGCACATCTGCCGCAGCCGCTTGTCTCACCGGATGAGCGCTCCTTATCTCGTGACGACTCATCGGGAGCATTGTACCTCCTGCCGAAGGGAGGTGGACGATGACGAAGTGGTGGCACCATGGCCTATAGACGGATCCGCTAGCGGTTTCTGATGGCAGGGGGAAGGGGACCTGACCTGGGGCGGCAAGACGTGCTTGCGGATTTGGTGCAGTCGATCACGGTCAGCTAGGTTCCCTGAGTCTTCGAAGCCACCGTGCGGCGAGGGAACGATTCAGTTCCTCAACACTGGTAACAGGGTTGCATACCCAGGCAACGGAATCGTACCATGTCATACTTCCGAATCGTTGTCGCCGGTTTTCCCAAAATGTTGACGATGTGGGAGCCAAAGAGCTTAGCAGCGTGGTGCAGAGCCACTTGAGAGAGCCATGCTTTGGAGCGGCGTAGCGGGAGCTCAGGTGAGCGGAGAGGGCTTCCGTGTCCACCTGGGCTGCGGCACCGTACTGGAGTTCGAGGGCCTTCAACCGACGGGACCCCAACTAGCAGGACTCAGCAAGTGTTAGTGGGATTTCTTGGTTTTTACAGAGGAAGCTATCGGACTGCGACCGAAGCCTTCTGATTGCAGGACCTGATCTCGCCTCGCTGAGCTCAGAGGTGGACTGGCTGGCGGAGCAGCGCCGGATCCTGGAGCAACTCTCAGGCTCTTCGCTTGTTGTTGGCTTGCTGGCCAGCCGCCTGAGCCATTTTTCCACGCAGGCGAGTCCAAAGGAAGAAGACGGACAGGAGATGGCAAAAAGCAGTGCCTGGGCTCCGACGGCTCTACAGCAAGAGTCAGCAGTACTCGAGCCTGCAACTGATACGCAGATAGCCCTGAAACTTAGGCGAAGCATCGATGCGCAATCGATTCTCCGTGATGCTGCAGCCGTTGCGACCAAGTGCCAGGGGGACAGCGAAGAGCATCCTCTTCAATGGCAGATGGCTGGAGAGGCGAAGCGCCGCCGATCGCCAGAAGAGCAGCTCCTCAGTTTCACCAGTTCATTACTTGCGACCTGGGTCCCCCTTGTGCTCCTTGGTGATTGTCTTTGGGAGTCGGATGCTCCCACATACGGGAAAGGACTGCAAGAGACTGAGGTTCAGCACTGATCCCAGCAGCTCACAAGCTGAGAATGGCGAGCTCCCCTCCGCGGCAATGCAAGACTAGCAGCTGGCGTGCGAAAATGCTTTAATGCTTTCGGATGCCAGAGCAGACTGCCTGTCCTATCCTTGGTCGCCCACCGTCCACCCCCCTCCCTTTCACAGGCCGACTCCTTCCGCGCCTACCTTAACTTCCTGCAGGGTGCAGATGGCCACAAGCTTGGCAACACACCAGCAAGCTTTTTTTCAGAGTTACCCCTTGGCCGAGGTCCCACGGGTGACCTCAGCCCGTCGAACTTTCTGCAGATTCTCCACTGGAACCAGGCCAGGGCCTGGTGTGGCTCTTTCAAGCTACTTGGCTTCTTGGCTTTCACGGCTGGGTCTTGCCAGGAGTTCGGTGTAGAGCACATTCGAGGACAGCCTGGCCTGCATGATTTGGTATGATCTCTCCGAAGCCCCCTGCTTGGCATTCGGGCCATAGAAGCGCCAGGTGCGAGGCCTTCCTGTTGGACCCCCGGTGCCGCGAGGCCATCGAGCTTTCCCCCGACGAGGTCCTAGAGGCCCGATCTGAGGAAGGTCAGCCTTGACATGGGCCCTAAACCCATTTTGTTTGGCAGATCGCGGCGCGGCACGACATGCCAAAGCTGTATGAGAAAGCCGTCGAAGTGACAGGGCAGGGGATGCAATACATCCAGGCACCTGCAACTCCGCACGTCCACATATGTTTACACTCTCAGAGCCCATACTTCGATCGGTTGCGGCAGGTTCCAAAGGGAGAGCCGACGAAGTTCGATTCCGAGGATCTGCTTGCTGGCCCTCCATGGACGCTCGAATGTGCCCGCATGCAGTGCACGGAGGACCTCAGAACAGACGTGGTGAAAGCTCACCTCTCGATGGGCGTCATGTGTGCAGACGGGGAGCGCCGTGCTGCTTGTTTCTCAACGCACCCCGGGCTCGCCGCGTCCAAGAGGCATATCAGTTGCCGTAGGCTGTAGTTGTCTTCAAGATCCAGGAGATGCGTTGTCGGCATCGGTATGCCGACCAAGCTTTGTCGCTTGCCCAAGTTCAGTCGCTGTTGCAGACTGGCATGGTCTACGTGATCTTGAGATGCATCCTTTCAAGGGATGTGCTGTTGATCTGTTCCGAGTCAGATGCATGAAGCTGGCTCAGGCTTCCTGACGCCCATGAGCGAGCGCGACTTCTCTGGAAGACGGGCCCCCCAGCTTTTCGCCTCAAACGTGAGCTTTCGGGCCAGAAGTTGGGCCACTGTTCGAAGCAGTTCAGGTCAAGGGGTCGGTTTCGCAAACCAGCTCCGGCAGAGTCGAGACCTTGATGCCCTGGCAAGTTCTCTGAAGGCCTTTGCATTGAGTGTGAAGCTGTCGTCATGCATCGCTCAGACCTGACCATGACTGGCGATGCCCCCAGATGGCCAGAAACTCTGTTGCTCTACGTGTGCAAAAGGTGATGTGAGACAATCTGTTTGCTGGCGAGGTGTGGCCGCACCACTCGTTCCGTGGCGAGGCACGGGGGTACTCGTTGCAAGTCCGCAGCAACCGATGCACTGAACACTTGTGCAACATCTTGGTTTGGAGCATCTGCATGCCAAAAGCTGTGGCACGAAAAGAGGACTGGACGGCAATTGCTTCGGAGTCCAATCCTGAGTGGCCGAAGGGATGGGAAATGCATGGCCGAACACTGAAAGACGTTTCCGTGGAGTGCTCCCTCAACGGTGCATCGCAGGACCCAACCGACCTTGCCCCGTCGATCGGCCTTGAGGCCTGGATGCCCCGTGCAAATTGGAAGTTGCCTGCCCACGGCGACAGGAGCGAGCCTCGTCGCAGAAAGTGAAGCAGAAAGGCAGGGGCGCCTGCGCCTTGCCCAACACGGGCTGAGGTGCCCCAGGACCCAGGACGGCCTCCTTCAGATGTCACTTTTCACGATGTTTGGACGTGCTGTCAAAGGGTAGCAGGATATTTCGTAGGCTTCCGCATGCGCCGAAGGCGCGTAGGCCGAGCGACGGCGGGAAAAGTTTCGAAACTCACACTTTGAGGAGCTGTGCAGGGGTGTTCTGTTGATCTTTCGTGGGAGGCGGAGTCCTCGATGGTGAAAAGGCGATGGCAGCTGGGTCTTGGAGGCCTTGGCCTTGGCCAAGTGGCCATGGCAAAGCCCAGGAAGCGGTACGTCGGGGACTTGGGGCGACGGCGAGACTCGTCGAGAAAGCGGGGAGTTGAGAGTTGAGAGGAGCCGGCCCAAAGGCACGTAGCATGGTGGCAAATGCAGACGACCTACTTCGCTGGCTTCCGTCTTAGATCGGCAGCCAGCAAACATGTGCTTGCTTGATTGGCTTTCATCTGGCCGGAGGTTTCCGAAGGCCAGCCTGGTCGTCTTGAGGGGAGCTGCAGTTCAGCACCCCACTCAGCTGCCCAGCTGCCAGAGTATGTTGAGAGTGGGGGACCGGGGTCGCCCAGGATTGGGATTGAAGAGTTGGGTATGGCGGAGGCGGAATCTGGAACCGGGACGTGCCCAGGTATCTGTGACGACACGCTCTTTTGTCTGGATCTATCCCAGTCCTGTCGGCGACTGTCTGACAAATCTATTTGCGATTATGGTAATGGTAGCACAAGAGGCTGAGACATTCTATGACCGCTTGCTTCGCAGAGCAAGCAATGCAAACCTTGGTTTCGTGGCTGTACTGGGCAGGCTCTCCTCAACGGCAGTGAGCTGTTTCCGCAGGCGGTGACATGAGCTTCGCTTCAAGACTCACTTGCTGTATTGCGTTAGTAGCGGTTGCTCTACGGCCTTCACCCGGGCATTTGAGTCCAAAAAGGATTCGCTTCATTATGGCTTCGGCATCTACAACCCGTCCTTGGCCCATGCAAAGCTCGACACCTGGCAAACAGCGGAACACGTGCGTTGCATTCAGAACATCTGTCTCCAGTGGCGTACAGGGCCTGCTGCTGCCAGTGCAGCAAGGGAATGTGAGCTCGAAAAGCTTTCTGAAGGCCCGGCTACCTCCTGGCCGTATTCCGGGCTTCGAATTGGCATGACACCCACTGCCCAAGACCACCGGACCTGGTGGACCCATGCACTGTGATGGCTTCCTGAGGCACTATTGTCCAGAATCAGGCTGGGATGGAAATTGGACTAGTGCCGCTTTGTTGCAGAAATACGGGCTGAGGAAGCGGTGGGCTGACATCGAGTATCATGCGCTATCCGACACTATCCCACAGCAGTCGCTGAAATTCACATCTTGAGGTCCCACACCACAAAGCACAGGAGCGGGCTTGTCTGCTTGAAGCTGTGTGGACACAGGCACATGCTGTTGTATTGGGAAGATTGGGAGGCAACCCAATACAACCAACCGATACTGGCCACGCTGAAGCTGCCAGACTTGACAGTAGTTGAGGCCGGGTCGATTCTGTTAGCTTCAACGTCATTGCTCGGTCCGTCTCGCTGCCCTTCTGCGACGCTGGTGTTCTTCAGGCGGTTCCCGTGGCCTTCCAGCGCGACCGCTTCCGGGCTCGCTTCCAGGAGGCCTCACGAGGGTGGCAAAAGCGGCAGCGGCCAAGCGGCGAAGCTCAGACTGCCTCAAAGTCAAAGCCAGCGGAGAGAAGACGAAGGTGCAGGATGGCAAAGTTCTTGCAGAAAGATCCATCGAAGGTCCGGAGGCACCCATGCCTCATGCCGCTTCTTGTTGCTTGCGTGGACAGCCTTCGCATCCCGGCACCTTCAAGGACCTTCGGCTTTACAAGTTTGAAGAAGACTACTGGCTGTCGTCGCTCGTCTGCTCCTTCGCAGTAGTTGAGTGCAAGCGCCCTCAACAGATTCGTGCTTCAAAGTTTCTGACCGAGGTTCAGCTTCAGAACCTCTTACATCGCAAAGCTGCAAACAAGAGATGTCCTCAGTACTAGAGTTACTGGAGCTGTCGAGTCGTTGAGACCTTGAGCCGAATCGACTGCAGGGCTCTGCTTTGGGAATCGTGCACATGGCTGCACGCCTGCTGGCTACCGAGTTACCTGCGAGTCCCGTCCCGATGTCTGAGAAACTTCGGAAGGCTGCTTGGATCGAGACTGGCACTCTAATGGAAATCACTCCGGAGGCGAGGCTCGCCATACTCCACTTTGTGCCACTTTGAAGATCTTGGAGAGGCACTCCATCGCCGAGAACACCGGGAGCAACAGGCTTTCAAGAATCTGAACCTGGCTCAGGTCCGCAAGGCGGGACCAGCACTTTCCGGGTGGTGACCGGTGAGGGTGACGAGGTAGGGAATGCCCAGGAGTCCATTCTCGTGGAGTTCTCCCTGAATCCTCGTATCATGCTCGAGGTCGGGCAGCGCAGAATTGCTGAGAGCCAGCTTGGTTCCTCCCTTTGGCCTTGCAGTGCAGGTTGACTTGGCGTCGGGGCTCTGGCAGCAGGCAGAACAAAGCTGGCTGTATGAAGGTAAAATGGACGCAGGCAATTCCAGCTTGCATGAATGAGTCTAGACTGTATCAGCAAACTGGAAAGACTGCCATGCTGAGCCACGGATTGTGTGGTGTAGAGGCTTGTCGTTGTGTCCGCAGGTGTCATCAACGCAAACACCCGCTTTGCCTTTGCTTCCGACTTCGCAGTTCTTCTACCGAGGAGGCACTCTTGTTGCTCGTATGTTATCAGGTTCTGCACCTCCTCAATCAGCATTGACTTAAGATGGTCCGGCAGAGTAGCTTGTGGTCATGCAGAGACCTGCTGCAGGCTTCTGCTGTGTGGGCCCAGTTGACTGGGGTGGCCTTGAGGCGCGGCTGAACTTCGGGACTCGCGGAGAAGCGCGTTGTCATTCGTTGGAAATTATTCTTTCTTCTAGATTCTAGCCGAGCGGCGACGAGAGCATGTTTGCAGGTTAGCATTGGGATTGCGCACATCAAGTCCAGCGCTCAGGGTGGAAGGGTTTGCCACGTTCAGAATCTCTGAAGTGTTCAAACCAGTTCGAGATGAGCTCAACTTTGAGTCCGAACAAGCTATAATCTCCTGCAGCTCAGCGATGCCAACATATGCCAATATGCCAGCATCGCAGCAGTGTGCACAAGCACAAAAGGAACCAGGCGATTGCAGGCACCTGGAAACACACTGTGCTGGCAGAATGTCCAAGCCGCCAAAGCCTCGAGCCATGGCACAGATCCCTGTGGGGATGCGTATGGGAGATCTCCCTTTCTTTAACGCAGGCTGTGGAGTGTCTTTGGCGGCTAAACGGCCTGAAACTCTAGCAGCCCGCTGCGCTGGGAGGTTTCGGCGTGCAAGAGCTAAAAGATGCCGCGGTGGCGGCAGTGGAGCCGGGCTTCATCACCTTCAAGATGAAGGCGTGACGTCGTCGGGCCGCACGCATGGAGGCACTTTGGCTGCAGGTGGGCCCGGAGCACGTCAACGCTCTGCAGACTCTACATGGTGCCGATCTCGGTCATGAGGTTCGCAGCTCTGTGATGAATGCATGCAGGTGCCTTCTCCATGCTCCTGCTAGACTGTCTCACAACGGTCGTTATCAACCAGGTGGCAGTTGGATGCATTTGGCATGATTGTGCACTACATATGGTCACTGCCGCGACACAGATGGACCAGCGGCCCTCCGTCAGCGTCAACATGACAGGAGAGCTGCCGCGTGCCAGGCCCACAGATGTGTCACGGCTCCCTACAGGACAGTATCAAGGAGCCGCGAAGCTGGGAGAGGAGCTGACCATCGACTGCCGGCTCGAAAAGGCCAGATTATAGACTCTTTGGGAGCCCTGACTTCTTGCACGAACAGGCTGGGAAGAACTTGGCCTTTGCATCGATGCGACCAAGTTGCAAGTGTTCGGTGCATGAGCTTGCGGTTTTCACTTCACCTGATCACTCAGGACGATAAAATCTGCAGACCACGTTGTGCGCCCTGCCTAAGTTTGCCTGGCCTGACCTCTGGGAAGCATGTAAGTGAGAGTTGTGACAGCAGACCAGAAGAAAGAACAGCATCTTCCATGCTGAGGTTCACGGGCCAGCACACGAAGATGCTTTTGCAAGCCAAGCTGTGACTCACTTTGACCGCCAGCTCGAGCAAAAAGGTAGTCGTGCCTGCAGGGTGGTGGCGTAGTTGACTTTAGTGGTCATCTGTGTCAGGCAGATCTGTAAGTGATCATCAACCTTGAGTTCAGAACGGCACGGAATGCTACGAATGGTCCGAAAAGCTTGAAAATCGAGCTGCAGCACAAATTAACGGCATGTTGAGTTTGGCAGGCTTGTGTGCATGCACTTTCACTACCAAGGGGTGCACCCTTGCTGCTTTAGGCCAAGCTGGATCGGAGCCAAATCGGCAGCAAGTAAAGTTTGATCCACCCACCCTCCGTGTGGACTCCGGTGGAGTTTCCCCTCTGCGCGAGGATTGCACAGCTTTCATTGTCAATGATGCTCGCCGCCTGCGGACGGGTTTCACAACTTTCAGCTGATGCTCATGATGCTAGTCGCCACAGGGCTGTTGAAATATGGCTTCAGTTGATTCTGCTGATCGTCGGTTGCACCGATCTGTTTTGGCACTGGCACATCATCCACTTGGCAACCACCACCGCAATTAAACACAAGTGGACCAACAACTTGCCCGACACAGCATTTCATTTCCGGAAGGACACATTCAACATGGTCGGCCGATCAAAAAGGAGGGAAATTTGGATCGCCGCCATATGATCTTTTGTCAGCCAGACAAAGACAACTGAAAGGCTGAATCAGGCCAACATGCTGCTCGGTGGTTCCCAGCATGTTGCAGCAGCATTTGTAGAAACACGACTGTTGTTGAGCATTCCAAGCTAGTCAGCTAGTCGTGATCATCCTTGATTGTTCCCTGGCCTCATAGTTGAAGAAGGAAGGGAAACCCATGGTGAACTCAAAACGAATATGGCTAAATACAGCAATCTGTAATGCCTGAAATACAGCTCGATGCACGGAAGGATCTCCTCTTCACATACACAGAAATTGAAGACTACGGAGATATGCCGCGAGTGATATCTCCTGTGCAGAATCTTCCGACCTTGGTGGTTAAGCAATCGGGAGTGAGATTGCTCAGGTTCAACAGGTACGTCTTCCTGCATCGCTTCTACCTGGTGAACAATGAATCTCCCTACGAGGTGCTCGTGTGATGTATTTACGCGTTTGATGCTTGTTGGCTGTTGAGAAGACGCTTTTCTCACGGTGTGCGGTTTGGAGGTGCTGGCGACCTCCCCGGAGCTTTGCTTCCACTACCTGGGCCAAGAAGGCCAGCTGACAAAGCGGCCTCTGCCTTTGCTTCGGAACGCACGACGGGGGCCTGGGGGGGGGCGTTGAGGGTTACTGTTAGTGTGTGTTTTCGCCATCATTCCCTTACGCGGAGTGGCACGAGTTTGGCGGAAGTTGTCAGAAGCGCTCTCCGAGCCAAGCTTGTCGCCGAGCAGGCCTGAATGAAACTGCATGAAGCAGCCTAGACTCAACATGCCTGTCCTTCCGACTCCATTGAGTGCCTTGAAGAGCCTGTTGCACAAGCTTGCACAAGCTGGCAGCCACAGAGGCCTTGCCTGGGACGAGTTGGGACATGGCTGTGAGACCGTGCAGTTCGCTTCAGGCCAGGCCGGGCACATGAGTCGATCTAAAGAGGGGCAGCAGCACGGCCAGGTCCTAGAACCGCAGGAAGGTCAGCTTGGGAGCAGCACACTGGTCGTAGTAGCAATACAGTCGCATCATAGGGATCTACAGGCAAGAGGGAGAACGACTGCCAGGCATGGTGCTCCAGAAGCTCCATTCACAGGACGGGCGGTTACTTCAGATGTCCAGCACGATTTAATTCGGTCTTTCGCTTGAAGGATTTAGTCCACTTGTGTTGCCGCCGGTAGACATCTTCTATGGACAAAAGCTGCTAGGACCAGACCATCCTGCTCAGTGCAGGTGTCAATGACTGTGAATCTGCCTTTGTGCGCGGCGCTGAAACACTTCAAGAGACTTGAATCTCTTGGCCCTTCTCCCAAGTTTTGGGACTTTGCATTCCTTGTGAGGACTTTGTCCTTAGATGTCGTGCTGGAGCTGCTCGTGCCAGTTGAGACAAGCACTCGCTGGGAGGCAGAGAAGGTGAGGCGATAAGCTTCAGTGTTGGTGTGCGCCTTCAGCTCTGGTTTCTCGCCTTGTTGCAGGAGCTGGTAGACTTGCCAAAGACCTCCAAGGATAGTGATGGCCAGCGGGATCCAGATGTCTGAAAGAGTTCTGATGGGTTCGGTTGGCTTGTAATGCCACGCGCGTCCTCCAGTATGTCTGCAGGACCTCCTGCTGCCACGCACGCTCCGTGCAATGATGTTGCTGTCGTGGGCCAAGAATGTGAAAGCCTGCAGATGCATGCACCTCCCCACGATTCACTGCAGCCCGAAGTGCAGTGTAGCAAAAGACCTGCCCAATAGAGATGTTCCGAAGACAGACACCCATGGGCGAGGTCTCGGGCCGGTCCGTTTCAGAAGAAGGCGGAAGCCAAGGCCTATGGAAGGGGGACATGGCCCAGCATGTGTCGAGATTCTCGTTGAAAATGCTGAGAAGGCAGCTTGCATCATTCAACTCATTCAACTCTCAATCAACATGAAAAGAATGAAGTTTCGAGTTGTACGGTGTAAAGCACTCAAACGCACTTCGTAAGGACAGCCGGCTTCGGCTCGAGCAAAAGAAACTTTCCAAGTTTTGGTAGCAGAGCCGTGGCTCCCTTTCGCAAAGCCATAAGCCTGGCTGCCGGACCCTCGGCACGATCCAGACCTTTTTCAGCCGCCCCACTTGAACTGGGCGAGCACTACGTTTTCGGGCATCTCTTGACCAAGTACCCGATGCAGAACTTTGGGAATTCTCCGGTTTTCCTTCGGTGGCTTCGCGCCCTCTGATAAAATGTCTCCTACGGCACATACCAGAGTTGCAGGAGCCTTGCCGGAACCTGGTCGGGACGGACACCTCCATGAGCCCTACTGGCAGAGCTCGAGACATACGGCGAGAGTGCCGCGGAGCCACTTTTGAAGAGCTTTGTTGCGGCTCGATGGCGCGCCCAAACCTTGCCCCCTTTTAAGGCAATTCTGCTCCACGAGCTGAGCAAAAGACATGCATGCTGGAGCTTGCCTGACTACCTACTTCGCTCACATGTCGACTGCGTCCTCTTGTGACTCTAGGGGAAAGCACAGCGCTCCGATTAGGCATGAGCCTGCATTTGGTGCGCCCTGATGGAGCGTATGATGCTGGCGACGGCGCGTTGGCTCCACACGGTGGAAGACGTAGGAGATCCGAGCAGCCCCTCCAACATGCGATTTCCTGTGGAGTACACGCCATCTGCAACTCCTTGAAAGAGGTCTTCGGCTCGAAAAACCTTTCCAGGAGCACAGCTTGGAGTCAGATTTCAGATTAGAAGAGGCCCAGGCGAAAGCTTGGAAGAGCACAAACTGGCACAGTTCCATTGTTCTTCCGAGGTGCAAGCCTACCGGCCAAGTTCGTGGAGGACATCAAACTCCATCTGCAGGACGACGTCTGGAAGTTCCAAGACGCCAGGACACTGGCGCTGAGGCTCATCTTGAAGAAGGATGACATTGGCCACGAGGCGTTTTACTAACGCAACTTCGAAGATGAGACACTGCTTACTGGAAGGACGACAGCTTGTCCTGGATTGATGAGAACGAGGATTACCGCGATGATCAGTGGCACGACCCAACCACGACGAGGACTCTGAGTCTGCTTGTGCCGACACGAAGAAGAAGGCCAGCGGAGTGACTGGCGTGAAGAGGCACAACAGGAAGAGACTTCGGAGGAGTATCAAGCACAGCATGGAACGGAAGGCCCGGAGACTTCGTGGCCGGTGTTCTCTTCGCAAAGAACGCGAGGGCTATGGAAAGAAGACCAGCTATGGCAAGGAGGGCTATGGCAAGTCCCGTTGGGGAAAAGGCAAAGGCTATTATGGCTATGCGGAGAAGACCCTGGTGCAGAGCTTTAGCGAGGTGAACATACTGAGGACTCCAACCAAGACCGCCCACTTCCAGCTGAGCAAGGATGAGGCCCCGGTGATCACCTCACCGGGACACCCCAAACATGAGAAGCAGGTTCAGGATGAGGAAGAGGAGCCCACTTCAGCAGCTCCTCTTGCAGCAACGAGACGGCTCAACTTCAATTTTCCCACGGCGATCTACAGCGACTAATTCAATTACCATACCGTTCTCGAAAACAAGGCACCGTGGTCTTTTGGTTGCTGGAGCTGCCGACGGCTTGATTGGCGAGACCCTGCGGGACACCGTTGAAAGCTGCATTCCGACTGTGGAAGCACGACAAGACGACGTCTCGATTCCTCTCAAGCTGGCCGGTTGGGCCGGCATTTTTGCTGCTGACCTTCTTGGAGGTGAAGGTTATTTGTGCCCGGCACTGTTGTCGGTAGACGGCGATGAGCGGAGGGAAGTGAGCTCCTAGAAAACCACATCCGCCCCGACCGTCTCTACTATTGGTGCGACCTTGAAAGCTGCTGACGACCAAGACACGACAGGTCCGAAGATTCCATCCACTGCATCTGTAAGGTCGATGATAGTCAAGACATGACGACTCCGAAGATTTCATCTAGGCCATGTTCACGGTCAGGGACGATCAGGACTCGAGAGCCAGTTTACGGCTGCAGCTCTGTCTGCGTGGTCACTTTGAACATCAAGGAGGCAAGCCATTCTTGATGGATGAGAACCTCTTCTGCTGGTCGTCTCCTGCGAGCTATCGTGCCACCGCGATCGCCGTTATGACTGGCTCAACCAACAGTACGAGCCCTTAGTGAAGAAGTTCGGCAAGGTGACACGTCAGGTCATGCCACTCAGTCATAGTCTCAGACCCCGAGGGTTTCCACATGTTCCAGGACGAGTTCTGCAAGAAGCTCAACGTTGTCACGACCGGACCGCAACCACGACGATATCCTCACTTCATCCGAGGTGAAGTTCTTGAGGTCGGTGTTGGGATCTGGTCAGGAGAAGTTGCGGCCGCCATACAGACCAGCGTGCTTCCAGGACAGCTCCGCGGCTGGGACGTCCGCAACCACGCTCAGGAGGCATCCTTGTGTTGCTGTGCGAGGACACACTCCTACCCTATGACAAGGAGCTGAAATTGGGCGATCATCAGTGCCGGATGATGGGCGGCACGGGCCGCGTGCTTTGGATTCACGGCGCTAAGGCGAAACGCAACGAGGCGACGAGCTCTTCTACTCGAGCCTTGCTGCCTCGTATCGTTTGCAGGTGGACCGGGACTTCTTCGAGTTGGCGCCTGGCAACGGGAACCTGCCGCAAAACAAGAACCAGCGGCCAAAATGGCCGCTATTAAGGAAAAGCATCTCGACATGAACGACAAGGAACTCCTCAACGACCTTGCTCAACCTCAACGCATGCTCAATAACGCAGCCATTCGTGTGCATGTCCGTGTTGGTTACGAGTGCCGCACCATCGACGATTGGGACTTCGTCGACGTCTCCTTGGAAAGATGACACTGGCTGGTCCTTCCTTCTCGTCATTCCCTGGTCATCATTGCTGTGGAGCGAATTTCATGCATACTTTGAAGCTAAGGCGGTCAAAGTTTCTATTTTGGTTCACTGGCGTGCCAGCATCGTCCCCTGCGGCAACTCCGACTTCTACCTCTACAACGACCTCTACAACTATGTGCTTCGGCGGCCACCTCAACTACATCGCCTCATCATCCACGAATGGTTTCTATTGTCACACACACGCCGATGATCCTCTGCTTCAGCAAGACAACTCCAGCATGATGTATGTGGTTGGGCTTGAAGCTGAAAATCTAAGCGTGGGACACGGGACCGCAGGTTTGCAACGTGTGCTTGAGCACGTATCTATACCCTAGGCGGTCTTTTCCGACAGCGACGGCCGAATCTGCAAGAGCTTCAGGCCTGGAGGCCTGAATCCAGCCAACCTCGCGGATGAGATCTACGCTACCTCCGCTACCGGTCGCACGCGGCATCGAACTCCATAAACACTCGCATACGAGCGATGGGATGCGGCCGTGTCGGCATTGCGATAGAAATTTCCGTTGGAACATTGAGCGGAGTGAAATTGTTTCGAATTGTACGGTGTAAAAGTGCGCAAGTATTCAAGCGCACTTCGTATGGACAAGCGGCGTGGGCCCGAACAACACAAGCTCTGCAAGGAAAAAACTAAGTTGCTGCAAGCTTCGCATTGTAAGGGAATCGCACACCTTTTTGGGGGATTTTGGTTGCAGCCGAAGCGAGCAGAAGATAAACTTCGCACCTCGGTTTGATTTTTTCAAAGAGCCAGGCTCATTGGCGCTTGGTGCAACTCTGGGCACAACGTCTGCTTGCTGCCTCAGCAAGGCCGGTTCTCCGGGTGTTCAACTTCGAGTCGTGAAGGTATGCAAACTAGACGGTGCGCGCAGGCCGTGCCAGGGGAAAGCCGCAACCCCAGAGTCTTCCGAGAGCTTTGCGCTTTCCCTTGACGGGCCTCTGCAGTGCCTGACAGTCCCAAGTTCTGGCCCTCTAGACCCAGCTGTTCCTGTTGAGGAAGTGGCTTCCTCATGTTTCGAGGAGCAATCAGCTTTCAAGGCCCGCGGTTGACTTGAAAAATGTGGTGTCTATTTCGCTCGAAATTAAATTCTGAATCCTAAAGCCCGAAAACCCTGAGATCATTGTCAGGATGCTCTCTCCTGGATTCGGCCGCTTTGGCGCTCGCGGGGTGCGCTACGCTTTGCACATGCAACTGCGGGATACTGCGTAAGATTGAGCATGGTATGCTTAGCATACATGATCTACCGTGTCAGACAGATGAATGTCTTGTGGCATCATGTATCGTATGCAGCCTTAACTTACAAGTGGTGCTGCGCGATTTCACAGCTTATGCTGCGCGCCGTAGAGGTGCTTTGGGGCAGGCAGAGAAGCATAGCACGGCATAGTCTAGCCTGGTGCTGACACATACATGGGGAAAAAAATAAAAAAAATATACACTCATACACGAGTGGTGTTCTATTTTAACTGAAAGTGCCCCTTTGCCCGCGGAGCGTGGCTTATGGCCTGGTCACTTGCGCTACTGACCATAAATCATGGAGTTGCAAAGGCTCGCAGATCGAGCTGCTGGTCGTTCCGTGTGTTTTGACCTGTTGAAACAGTGGATCTCTAACACCTTTCACCGGCAGGTTCAGGACACTTGCCCTGCAGGATGTTCGTGGCAAAGCTTGTCGATGGCCTGCAGGGCAAGCGGATGCCACATTCAGACCGGTGAGGATTTGGAGACTACCTTCCGGACAGTGCTGGTTCAGACTTATGCCAGCTTTAAGGAAGCACAACTCGAGGCCCTTCTCGAAGCGAAACTCGCAGACGAGCTCTCGTTCTTCCACTGTGCCAGATACTCGCTTGAAAGAGCAAAAGACTATTGGAAATGGTACCTTTACTGCCTGACGTTCCACAGCAGCGACTTTTCTACGGATGGCCAGTCTTGGAACCAATACCCGAGAAGCACGACAGTGGTGGCCCGGATACCGTTGGACATCGTAGACCTCGCTCTGCTTGCGAAATTTCTGAACGCGCAGATCACGGTGTCCAGGCTGAATCAGCCTGCATTGCGTCTACCCCCTGCATCACGCGGTATGGAAGAAGTCCACTCTCTACATGTCGTGGTGCACAAAGGCCTTTGGGCTCCGGTGCTATCAACTCTCGATTGGGTGTCGTGTCGCATCGACAGGAGTGCTCGCGTGGGGAGTGTAGTAGAAATCCACGACAACGTGCCCTCACACATTGAGGGCTTTGCAGGCTTGCTTGCTTGCGTGAATTCCTTCGACGAGGTCGAGGGTTGCTACACAGTTTGCAATGGCCTCCACCAGATTCCACTACACAGTACGCAGATACGGCGTGTTCTGAGCCGTTCGGCTGACCTGATTCGGCGATCCACTGAAGTTAGCCACGATGTTGCGCTGGGGATCCCCTCACGTTGGTATTTGCCCGGCGAGGCACCGGCTCTGCGTGGCATTCCGGACTCTTCCTTGGAGTTTCAGCTCCTGTTGCAGATGGTCTTGGGCGATGTGGGCAGGCGGCTGCGCAACATGCGCGAGCGGCTGGCTGGCAGGCCAGTCCGGGATGAGCCTCTGACCTTGGAAGATCCGGCCGCTTTGGGCGCGAAGGAGTTCGAACTGCTGCGACACCGGCCGCCAACTCCTGGAGAGCCCTGCCCCTCCTGCCTTTCCTTGCCTTCAGTCGAGCAGCTATTGAAAGGTGGTGCACGCATTTGGACGCGTTGTCCTGGCTCCGTGAATGGAGGCCTCTTCCACCTCAACCGCCAGGATTTTGTTTGTCTCGTGGCCACCATCCTTCGTGAAGATGGCTCCCTTCTCTTTCAAGCCCACACGTCCACCAATCAGCGGCTGGTGGAAATTCCAGGTGACTCTCTTTGCCTGTGGATGGCCACTCAAGATTTCGATCCTCCCTTGAAATGGCGTAACCTCCGAGAATTTCTTCAAGTTTGGCAAGGAGAGTCCCTCGTCATGATCGAGCGGCATCATAAGTGGGACGGTTGGGGCAAGATGCGTCGCCTGGAGCAGGAGGGCAGCGACTCTGTCGGGCTCGTCGCATTGAAGTATCTCGTGCCCTATGTGTGGGTGGGAAAGCTCGAGGTCGCAGATGCCCTCAGTGAAGGAACAGCTTTCGGTTTGCGCTACTGAGGAGCCAGTCGGAGGTCCGGTTGAGCTTTTCTTGCTCTGCGCCAAAGAGTGGTTTGGTGGCGGATTCAAGAACGACTGCTTTGCCAACTTGGTGTGGGTCCAAGTTTCTTTTTGGACGGGTGTTTTCGGGCCAAGGGCTTTGAGTTAAAGAGTTTTGTGGATTTGTTGTTTTAGGGTGTAGGGTGTTTTTGGGCTTAGGTTGTACGGGCTTGTGGCTCACGGTGAATCACGCTCAAGGGTTTTATGCTTCAGTTTCCTACAAGTAGCTGGAGGGGTACCCAACGGAAATTGTCAGCTTGGTAGATGACTGCCTGAGGCGAAGCGCCGAAGACGAGGTAAGAGGTCGACCACCAGGAATTTTGGACACCGAGAACATCCTTGAGGACGACTTTGCCTTTCTGGGATGAAGACGGGGCTGGACGACAGGTCGCGACCAAACGTACCAAGCGACATGACGCGGGCAAAACTACGACTGAAACGTATCAGGCTGGACAGGCTTCGGGCTGCTGTAGAAGCATTGAGTCACATATCCTGTGAAGACGATCTACAAGTGTGCTTCCAACTGTGTGAAGCTATTTTGGCCAAGTTGATACTTGGAAGTGTATGGGACGGTTGCGCCAATTCTATGCGGAGCTTGGCCGCACAGATTTGACTATGCTCAGCTTTGTTGCGATGCCATACCGAAAGAAAGGTTCATGCTGTAGCTTGATCCTCTTGGTTGTCGTGGTGAAGAGCGTGACAGGGAACAACCGCGCGATGCCACATGTGCTGTCCCGAAGATCTAAACGGGCAGCCATTGCTCAAGTAGCTGGGTGCGGAGCCGAAATCTGAGAGCAATGCCATGATGGGATGTGTTTAGAACACCCACATCTGAACGATGCCGGGGATGAGATGTTATCTAGGCTCACACTGCACGTGCCAGGTGAAGGCAAGCACTTGCCCAGCTGGAAGGACACTTTGCTCTTCGATGCTGTCGTGGCCACCAATGACTGTTGATCCTGCAGGAGCAGCGACAAATCCTGCTTCAGCTGAAGGCCGTGGCACGAGTGTATCGGAGACAGATCAAAGCATTTCTGTACTCATTCTGTAAAATGATCCGTGCAGAGCCGCGTCGACGTTGCGAGCAGGCCGCCAGTCAGAATCTGCTGTTGCACGAGGACGTCGAGCCCACGGCTGCACCGTTTGGGGCGGTGCATTGCATTGCTTTGAGCTCAGCCCGTCCTCGCTAGGCCAAGACTCTCACTTCAGAGCTTGCGGACCTTGATGCGGAGGAGCCTCGCAGAGACTTGAATCTGGGTTTTTGGCAGCTCCCTCAAGAGCAACGGGCCAAACACGCACAAAGGCATGCGCGAACGCTGCGCAGGCTCGCTGATGAGACGATTGGGGCAAGTCCATCTCGCCCTCGGCTCGGGGTGTATCTCTTGCTGGCTGCTTCCCTGGGTGACGATGTTGCACAGACAGCTGCTTCGCTCAGCATTGCTTCAGGATCAGAAACATGGTGCCAGAGACTTGCCAGCATGTTGCTCCCAGGTGGTCCTGCATTTGGGGGGGCAGGGTCCATCAACGGATCGAAGAGGCCTCCCAATGAGTGGCGGCAGCTCAGCATGTTGCGAAACTCAGTAGGCTTCATCGTCGGATCTTTCCATGACTGCATGCGGTGTAAGTCTCGTTGCATTATACTTCACCAGTAGCACTAACATCGACTACATGCGGGCGAGGCGAAAGTTCCTACAGCCTCGGCCCAGAGCTCAACCGGTAAAGCTGTGCATCCTATGACATTCCGGAAGGTCTTCCAAAGCTTTTGACCCGTGCAAAAACTACAAAGTTTACTAGAATGTAGAATGCAATTGCTGCAGCCAAAGAGTCGAAAAGGTCGGACAGAGGAGGTATCCTTTTCTTTCCTGATGTGAGTTGCAGTGAAGCGCCGCACAACCCCGTGTGGATTCTCCCAGGACGGAGCGAACAACGGCCACTGGGAGAGACGATGGCTTTGGGTGCCCAGCATTCATCGAAGACAAAAGAGCTCACCCTTCTAGCTGCGCGAGAATCAGCGATCATATTGCAGTGATCAGTGGTAGTGTTCCCCGAAGTCGAAGATGGCAGGACCTGCGAGGACTCGTTGCAGGCTTCTCCGAGAACTTGTCCATTCTGGAGGCCGTACTGAGCCTAGGAAACTTTTTTTCGGATTTCAGAAGCCCTCGAGGTCGGCTCCTACTTTGGGTACACGACTCGCATTCTCAGTCAGCTCTTCAAGCGACCCCCGCCTTTCAGCTCTGTTGGTGGCCGATAGGGCAACTTTGCAGGTGATAGCACTTGATGCTGTTCCTGAGCTCCTGCAGGTAGGGAACTGAGATGGAGGATTGCTGCATCTGTGCTATCAAAGCCGTAACCAAGGCCAACCGGGATTACAACTATGACCGAGACAACATCCTGTACATCAGGCGACTGCCTCATGGTACGGTCTCGTCAAGGTGTGTTCACAGGACTTCCACATGTGTCCGGCAGGTTCCACACAACCGACCATGTCAGTTTCCAAGAGTGTTTCGCGTCGGTTGGTCGCAGGCATGAAACAGTCAGCTGCTTCAGTACACGTATTTTGGAAGGTGTGTCTATCTGTGCAAAGCAGCGCTCACAGCCCTTTGCGCGCTTTTTGTAATACTGGTAGTAGAAATCTGCTGGGCCGAGGACTGGGGCATCTTTTCCTTGAACACCATCCAGGCACCCTCTTAGCAGCGGGATGGCATTGCAGGCACATGGTATTTTGCGGTTGGACACAGAGAGGATTCGTTGTCAAGCGTCGCGCTCGCGAACTGTACCTAGGTTTGAGTAACGGTTTGCGTGTTTCTCTACACCTGCTCTGCGCCCCATCTTAACCTTGTTCCAGCTGTTGCGAGTGGACGGACGGAGAAACTACCACCACCACTACCGCTTCAGCTGCCGCTAACACCAGCACTACCACTACAGCCACTACCACTGCAACCACCACTGCCACAATCTTCCCCTACCACCACTACTACTACTACTACTACTACTACTTCCATCATTACCACCATTATAACACTGCTGCCACCGTCACCACTACCACCACTACCACCACAACCACGACTACCACCACAACCACCACAACCACCA